ATAAAGATCAATATTCAGAAGCTAAAATAATACGATACAACAACAAAGGACGAAAGGTCCAGACCATTCAGCATAATAGTGCAGGTCAGGAACTGTACAGTAAACCTAGATACATCACAGAGAACCGTAATGGAGATATTATTGTGTCTGACAACCACCGTGCTGTGGTGGTGACTGATCAACGAGGCAAATATCGCTTCTCCTACTCCGGACCTCCACCAGGGCCACGATTATATCCTTATGGAGTCTGTACAGACCCACTGTCAAATATCATTGTGTGTGATGGTACGACTTACTCGGTACAGATGATTGATAAGGATGGACACTTTCTGTCACGGCTACTGACAAAAGGAGACGGGGTCTACAATCCACATAGTCTAGTTTACGACTTTAGAAATCACCTGCTATTAGTTGGATCTTCCACCAACAACAAAGTGAACGTATACAAGTATATAAAACTTCAAAGTTACCTTACATGTGATGATATTTAGGGCACAAGGAATCATACTTATGAATATACATGTATATGCATGAAATATCAATCTTACTGGTAATTATATTAAGGTTAAAATTTCTAACTTATAATTATTTATCAGGTATACACATTGAAAATGATACAAACTAACGTTATGAATTTGCTCGTAGATATTGAAACAAAATTAGACTGGAACATTTCTTGGGCTAGGATTTAAAATTATTTAACCAATTCACTAAAACAAAAAAAAATGTGTAATCTTATTCGCATCTTATGGAAATTAATAAATCTCATAAAAATATAATGTGTTATTGTGTATAGATGAATCCAAATATGGAAAAAGTCAGGTTTACTTCATTAGGAATATAACATGAAATTTCTTTTCTACTATATTTTTGAAGAATATTTGCTTTTTGTCCTACTGTTACGACTTGCAGCTGTCTATGTTCAGCGGCGTAACATTGTGGGGCTCCTTAATCTGAATGTTGAACGAAAAATTTAAAAATATTTTATTAAATTTCATTCAAGTAAATATACACAAAATGGAATATGAAGATAACGAACAGTATTCAAGCTTGAAGTCCATTAAAACAATACAAATCGGGTGCAGTGTTTTAAGGAACCCATGTGTCGCCTACTATAGCATCATTAAAGAAATAAATGAAACTAAACAATGGTTATCTTTTCTTTAAATATTATACTAGTATAATATTCGCGATAAATAAAATTTATCATAAAAAGTTACGGTCAATATAAATTCAAGTTAACATAAAATCAAATTTAGTTTATCAAAAATAATCATCTATTCAAACGAGTTTATTTCAAGAATCCCCAAGATTCACAAAACCAAGTCGGTATACCGATAGTGAACTAACAGAACAATCGGAACATCGCACAGCCTTTTTCGTCAAGTCGAGAACAACATTGGCCTTTTCTGTCAAGTCGAAAAATATTATCAGAAAAAGAAAGTGTATATTAATACAAGTTTAATTCATCGGTGTACCGATCCCGTTTTATGAATGAAAAAAATTGAAAATTACATGGAATTTTCCGTGAGATCGAGAACATCACTCGGCCTTTTCCGTCAGGTCGAAAGACCGAGGTTTTATTTTGGTTGACTAAGAGACTGAGTGATTTTCTATTGTTAACAGCATACATTTAAATTTCAGTACGTGTGGTTAATGTCATTAATATATATTAAAAAAGGTCAAGATCAGTTGGACTGTTTCAACACATCTAATGACAAGCAGTGTACTGTACAAATTGACCTCTAAAGGGTCAAAGAATATACGTATATCGACACTATAGTGTATTTTGAAAAGTAGGTCAAAGATCAGGTGCATTGGTCGGTAACCCTGGTATTTTACAAAGCCACTCTTCCAGGCAATACATGAGCAAAATCTTTACCTCAAATAGTGCTCAAGACATAAGGTGTGACAGACAGACGGATAGATGGACGGACGAATAGACAGACGCCTAGTCAAGTGATCCCTAAGTGTTCCTCTGATCTGAAGGCGACACAAAAATAGAAAACAGTTTTTTTACAGAATAGATACTGTTGGGAAAGGCTTGTGAATGCAGTTTCACCCACAGAATCACTGTTAATGTTGACATTTTAGAACAATGTTTTTGAAATAAGATTTGATTATTAATTCATTTCAAAGTAAAGTGGATTAAAATTCTATTTTTTTTTTTTTGTTCAACAGCTAGTTAATAACTGATTGTTAGATAAACTGCAATAAATGATATTTCTAGGCTCTAAATGATATTCTGTCTGAGCAAAGGAATATATAGCTGGTACTGTCCATTCTAAAATCCTGCAAAAAATACCAATTGTGAACAGTGCAAAAACACGGACCCTGGAAACAGCAGAGGTGGAATCAGGTGTCTAGGAGGAGAAAGCATCCTCTGACGACCGATCATATCACCGTTAGTATTTTTTATTGATCAGATAAACGGAGAAATCATTAATCAAAAATATTGTAAAACAATGGCTCACGATTGGTATGAAAGATATCAATCAAAATACGACTTGGTGATATTTAAAAAATAAGGTAATTATAACGACCATAAAATTGTTGCAAAATGTTGACTTTAAATCAAAGGGGATTGTCAAAAGTCCTGTAACATAAATTTATTTCTCAGTACACAGGCAACTTTGCCACATATGATCCACATATGTGTATCATATGTGGATCATATGATTGGTTTCATATGAGAATCATAAAAAAAGGGCATCATATGTGAATCATATGAAGCAAATCATATGAGTCACATATGATTCACATATGTGAATCATATGAAAAGAACTTCATATGATTTGCACATCAAAAGTTTTAGTGTGTTTCAAGTCATTTACATATGAGAATCATATGAAATGGGCATCATATGTTTATCATATGAAACATTTATGTGGGTTTTTTTTTCATATTTATCAAAAGGAAATACACACATGTACACATTGAAAATCAGGTATTTCTGCTTTAGATGAAATTTCAGTACATTCCAATGATCTGTTAAATACCTGTAAATATTTGATAATGCTTGCACAATTTTCCAAAAGTATCTTCATCAACAGAAATAACTAATATCACACAGTGCCCACTTTAAACAAGAAAGTATACAAACAAGTCAGTAGCATTTGTCGATACACGTATTTTACATATTCTAAAATAAGTACAAATTATTTGAAAGGATTTCAGCAAAATGATCAAGGAGATGAACATGTATACATGTACTAATGAATAACATAATTAGATCATGAACTTGTATAAAAATACCATATGACATGGAAGTGTCCTTAGCAAAATTGAAATATCTGCAATAACATTTGTCAATATATGTAATCTCTATATTGTAAATTTATGACAAATCATAAATAATTCAGATTACATGTACCTACAGCATATTTAACACATAAATGAGTATGAAATCACAAAGGATGGTGTCTCGATCGAACAAAGATACATATATACATATATATAGTTTTTCATAAAATTTTTTATGTATTTATGCATAAAGCATGAAATATAAAATGTGAATACATTAGAATGAGATTTTGCAATCAAAATGATATTCCAGTATACATATTAATGTAGAAAGCCTTGCATGTCAAAGTCTGACAAGATTAAGTACATCCTCCTCATTCATATTTATTCCAGATATTTCCTAATTCTTTTCTTTCTCTGTCAACTTTTCCCATTTGTCCTCCTTCTGATCTTCCATCATCATATTGAAAATTCTTTGAACTGTACCCAAAATGCAAATCCACCAATGTACCCTTTCTGAACAATTTGTTTGTGGCACAGAATAATCTCTAAAAATTATTTTTAAAATAATTAGCATTAATAATAATAACAAGAGGTCCATGGACCACATTGTTCACCTGTAAGCAACAATGGCAAACTCACTTAACTCTGACACAAGTGGCTTTTGTGAAATGTGTGTCAATACAAAAAAAGTGCTGGAATAAATTGCAAAAGTATTTTTTTGATATTTGTTCCATACTGATCAAATTTACTCAAGATTCCCTCCTTAGGCCCCACTATTGTAGCAATGAAGAATTTGTTAAAAAGACTTAATTTTTTCCTATACACAAGTATAAATTACTATATATATGTAAAACTTTGCAACCCTTCAGGGGCCCCACTGGTGGTTTAGTGGTCATTGTTTCAACAAACTTGAAACAACACTGCATAGGGATGTTTGCAAAATAATATCACAAATTGTAGTGTGGTAGTTCTTGAAAAGCAGATTTTTAAAGACTTTACCCTATATAATCTATAGGTTGAACTTTGAACCCCTACTGGTACCTTACTATTGGTCCTCTTTGCCAAGTTCAGTTGAAATTAGTCCAGTGGTTCTGGAGAAGACATAAATGTGAAAAGTTTATGCCAACTACGATGATGATGGACAACGGACAATTCTGATCAGAAAACTTCACGTGAGCCTTCGGCTCAGATGAGCTAAAAACAAGTACTTTCATTTAAAATGAAAGTACTTGTTTTTAGCTCATCTGAGCTGAAGGCTCAAGTGATTCTAAAGATGAATATGATTGGAAAAATTGTTTGTGACATCTAACAAACATGAACTAATTTTCTATCATTGATCATATTTACTAGCAAAGATGTCCTTCCAATAAACAAATATATATCTCAAAATTTTAACATTAAAGTTTAACATCAATATTTTTACAATTTAAAATGTTGACTCTTACTGTTTTTATACTAGCATCATACTAGCATCAGTGTGAAGTATTCCCTCTCTGGATTTGTTAGCATAATTGTAGGAGGAAGGAAACATTTTCATCGATAATTATGTAGAGACTTAATGGAGGGACCCTCTACATCAACTTCTTTGTTACCCATAAGCTAAAACATTTTTTTCTAAACAATTCAATTCACAATGTATAGCTTAAATGGAGTGCAGTGCAAAATTTTATTTTGACGAGGTAATTCAATTTAGCAATAGACTTTGATACTTCTTAGGGTATGTAACATATATAAATAAAATGTGTACACACCTTTGCTCTGATCCGATTTCTGTAATATGTGAATTCAGTGGATCCAAAGCTAGACATAACCCCCATAACATTTCATGTCCAGCCAGCCTTCTTTGCCAGATTGCTGAGCATCTCCTGAATGAATAAAGCAATGCATTTTTCACTTATTTTTCTATACATCAAACACATACTAAGATTCTTCAAGAAAAAATGGTTCACTATTATACATATTGACTATAAACTTTATTAGTTTCATATAATATGACATACATGCTCAGTGCATATCTACTTAAATGCTCAGTGCATCTACTTAAATGCACAATTCTTGCAAAATAGTTAGCTAGCATTTATATTCATCATACCTGTACTTCTGTATCCTTAAAAGAAATCCAGGGGTTGATGCTAAATCTTTCTTTAAGCCAATTGACATTCTCTCTGCAAATTTTTAATTTATATAAAAAAAAATAATAGATATAATATATATTATTAATCCATTTCTGCTTGATGCAGACCCCAAAATCATTAACCAAAGTACATGAAAATGTATACAATGTACTTTCAATGCACATGTAATAGTACCTTGAATGTCTGATTAAGCTAAAAGTCATTATCCTCCAGAAGATAATGTATAGTTTTATAGTTCTTCATAGTTTTTATAGCCAGCAAGTTCTATAATATATGCCTTACATATTTTCATATGTTTTCATACTCATATATATATATTTTATTATTGTGCTGGATTTGTTCTATAGAAAAAGAGTTGGATTTATTTAGTTTTTGATATATGTTTAAGTCATTACTTATATATACTGTGATGATTAATGTATTTATTTATTTATTTTTACCTGCATTGTGATCATGCATCGTCTGCCAAACCAGCTTTGGGTTTAAATCGTCAGTCAAATCAGCTTTGTGTTCAATCGTCAGTCTAATCAGCTTAGGGGTTCTTTGAACAAAAAAAAAAAAATACAAAAACAGCACTGTGACACTGAACTCCAGTTCCTAAATACATTATTTAAAACACGTTTCTCATTCATTTGATGAAAGAACCGAATGAATAACGATCTCAACAAACATTTTACGTTAACTGCTTTACAAGGTTTCTACTTTCACTTTCATATCGAATATAAATATTCAAGCGTAGCTATTAACAAAAGGGAAACAAATCTGAAAAATAAGTGATGCTAAATGGCCTAAACATTCATCGTTAACAAACAAAATTACTTATTGATCACTAGGTTTATCAGCTTTTTACGAACTGCATTAAGTTAACAATTATATACAAGTGATGAGAGTACAGTACTAGAAAGTTTATACGGATCTGTTACCTTAATGAAATGATCTAAACACAATGAACTAGCCTTTAAAAAAGTCTTTCAAAACGTATCCGAAATCACTTACTTTTTTCAACACCCAACTCTTCTGCTGCAGAAGTGACGTCAAACATGACGTACACTTTCATCTGATAAAAACCGAAACCGGTCCGTAAATAAAATGTGGAATGATTTTAATTTTACTCATAAAATAAAACCAACCATAACGGTTTTTGGATAAAATACAAATCAATTTATTCTTGATGAATTTTGTTTTTTTAAGAAAGGATTTTTTTTTTTGGGGGGGGGGGGTAACAGAGTACTTATTCCCTTTTTATCCAAGCTTCTTAAGGAAATGAACATCTTGATTCTTTTGAATAAATATACATTTAAATTTACACATCTTGATATATGTTATTGAAATTATTTTTTAATCATGCAGTCTACTTGTTAAAATATAACACCAACCTATTCATATTAAGCTTAATATGAAATTACTCAAGTGTTAACTGATTAACAGTGAATAAACGTATTTTTTTTTATCTCATTGAATTAAAATAAAAATGAATTTTACCTGTTTATAACAAGGACAAATAAATAAACACACACAGATCTGTTTCATATGATTCTCATATGATAATTCTCAAAGTATGCATATGATTCTCATATGCAGAACTTTCATATGTGTATCATATGTATATTGCTTCATATGATTTACACATGTGTATTCATATGATTTGCCACATATGATACTCATATGATTGAATATACATATGATTCTCATATGATCCTCATATGATCCTCATATGAAAGGCAATGCATATGTGGATCATATGTGGCGAAATTGCCTATGTAGCCTACCCTAGTTAAAACAAAATTATCGTCCTCAGAACATACTTTTGCGTGCCGATTCAGTTGGAAGACATAAATACCTTATGCAGTTGATATTGGAATATTACATAAACGAGAAACGTTGACGATTGTAGTGAAATATAAAGACAACTAACAGTTATCAAGCTCAAAAGTCCATTCAAACAATACAAATTTGGAGCATTGCAAAAAGGACCTCGTAAACATCAGAGGTGGGATCAGGTGCCATGGAGGAGTAAGCATCCCCTGTCAGCCGATCACACCTGCCGTGTGCTCCTTGTCATGATCGTGCAAACAGAAAAATCAGCAGACAATTCAGTGTGAAAATAATGGCATAACATTTTTAATGAAAAACGTCAGTCAACATCTGACTTAATGATAGATTGTATTTGCTGACAAGGTCATTTATCAACCATAGAATATTCAAATTGTTGACTTTAAACGAGACTGTTGATATTCTTGTTTCATCTACTTATCCGTCAATGTCTTGCCTCGTTTAAGAAATTGTTCGTAAGTAGAGCATGCTCTTGCGCATTGAACAAACTGGGTGACAAAAACTGAAGTCATCAAGTTTATCATATAATCTAGTTTAACGTCGTTATACAGTAAAACATCTAGGTATGAAACAGATTTGACAGACTCTTTTAATACGAGTTTACAAGGATAAATCGAGTTTACATATGAAAGAAACTTAAAATTATTGTACTGCGAATCTCTTGATATAAACAAATTATAGAAAAAAAATTAGAAAATTAAAACATGAACTACCCGTATTGCCCCCCCCCCCCCCCCAAAAAAAAAAAAAAAAAAAAACGAAAACAAACAAAAAATGCTAAAAATATGAAAAAGAAGAAACACTAAATAAAACCTCACAGAACCCAAACATACATACGAATAAAACGGTATTTATTTGTGTACATTGCTCAGTAACCGATATCTAATATCATTGTGTAAATTAAAGCCGAGACATTCACGTTGCGTGCCATTATATGTTACCATTATAATTATTTTATGACATACGATTATCTACGTGTAGAGTCTTGATGATCACATTGCAATCTTAATCACGCTCAGATCAATCTTTGCTATAAGTGTCGCCCGCGTGTCGCAGTGGTTAGAGCGTTTGCTCTAGAGTCGCACAGTGAGGAATTGATCCTTACGTCACGGGTTCGAATCCCCAAAGACCGTAAGTGCCCAGTACTGATCTTAATTTGCAACCCTAAACCGGCAAGTGGCGGCCACTCATTATATGTGAAAAATTCTCGAAGGGACGTTAAACAAACAAAAAACTACCGGTAGGCACTTTATCCCATCTCTAGTGTTTCCAGTTTGTGTTTATGTCCTGTTCTACATTCGTATAGTAAACAAAATTTATAAGATTGGTCATTGTTTGTTATCTTTACACCTTTTCCATTATCTTCTTCTCAAGAGGGAAAAATTCGTTAATATGATAGCTTTAAAAATGATTGTCAACATTAACTTGATTAAGCAATTTTTACAATCTTTTGATATGATTTTTATGTTGAACTATTTTTCTCAATTATTGAAATTGGAATATTGGAATTCATAGGAAGAAGCAAAAGGAGATTTAGATTTAAACGCCGCTGAATAATGCTGGAGGCAAACCAGTGCATGGCGGATTTGACCGGCCGTTAGGGAATACTCTATGGTACCTGATCCAACTCACTTTTCAGAGGTCCGTGATGGCTCTGATAACAAATTGTATTGTTTAAATGGATATTTGAGCATGATCAATGTTTTGTTTTTAAATGTCACACTACTGAAGCTCTTTAGGGTATCATTGTCTGTGGTTTACTGTTACAATCATCATCATGAGTAAAACAGGTAAATGGATTCCTGATGCCCCCCCCCCCCCCCAAGAAAAACACGTGAAATCAAACGAGTGGTTAAAATATCTTTTGACATATAATATCGAAGTTGGACTGATATTTGTAAAATTAAAGTTATTTCCCTTTTACCAAAAGATTTGTAGTGGAGTCTGTTTGCTCCAAGTTTTCCTATTTTAACAGTATCATAACTTCGAGACATTGAAAAACGAAATTTGTAGACCAAAAAAGAAAATGTATTTAAATCGCTGGTTGACTGAAGGTTCATGCCAACAGTTTTCAACGCAAAGTCAAAACCCTAATTGTTACCTAATCCACTATTGAATTGAGTGATATTTCCTGTATCCAAGTGAACTTGAAAAAAAAACCCCTCATCTCTATTTCCATTATTTGATGTTTTACTGACTATAGTCGTTAATGCCCAGCCATCAAGCAACAACTATATATATATATATATATATATATATATATATATATATATATATATATATATATATATATATATATATATATATATATATCGTATCAACTTTTCCCTCGCCACCTTCTCCTATTTATGTCGTGATATACTATTATCACCTGCATTTGATGTAAGCAAGAAAATAAGTAAACTCTATTTATTTTAAGTCGAACAATATATATAACGCAGAAACATGAGTTTAATTGAAAGCTTTTTAACCGACTAAAATTGATTTTATGTTCTCCCAAATGAACTGGTAAGCAAAAGCATGCATGTTCTGAGTAATTTTTTAAACGAACAAGCTATTAAGATGCAGTTGCTATTAAGTTACAGACGATTAACTTGATGTTAAAGGGATTTAACTATTACGATTAAAGTTAGTATTTTGCTAATTCCATAATCGATATAATGATCTTGTTTGAAAATACAACCTATTTTCGAGTGCTGTTTTGACTGACATGTTTCCTAAGCTAGTAATTGTTATGCCTTTAAGTTAAGGAATTTGAGCTATGGGTAATCCTGTTTATCTGATCAATACAGAGATTTTACGTCGGCGGTGACAGATCGACAGGGAATGCTTACTACTCCTCGGCACCGGATCCGTATTACGAGGCTTTTTTATAGGATTTATGCAATTGGCCTCTGTTTGTTATGTTTTTTTCATACATAGAGATTCTGAATATTCTCACAGGATAAAAATAATCTTAATTATAGTATATTTCACAGTCAGATATACATATTGACTATGACATGGACTTTTAAGTTTATGTTGATATTGACATAAAATTGAACAAAGAAAATCTGGGAATCACATCTTATCTAAATCCATTATACGGTGTTTGTTTTTTGTTGTTGTTGTTGTTTTCAACGTCCTTCTGGAGAATTTTTCGCTCATATGGAGACGCCACCACTTGCCGGTGGAGAGCTGCAAATTTTGACCTATACTCGGCACTCAGAGCCATTGAGCAGTGAGAGCTTTTTCGTGCCAGCACCTATTGCGACACGGGACATCGGTTTATACGGTCTCATCCGAAGGACCGGTCTCCACGTCCCAAAGTGGGATTCGAACCCGCGACGTAAGGACCAACTCCTTACTCCGCGACTCTACAGCAGATGCTATAACTACTACGCCACGCGGGCACGAAGTAAGGTGTAGTATGAATCTAAACATGATTACGGAGCAATCGTCTGTGTTTCTATTGCATTAACTTGAGAAATGTTCGAATTTAACAAACAATCCAATAAATATAAAAAGAAAAACCTGATGTTTTCCAATAAGTAAGGCAAACTGTCAATCATTTGAAAAGAACTTACCATTTTGTTTAAGTAATGGACAATTTAATTTAGCTTTAATAGATCCAGTATCACTTTTCAATTTTACTATTTTACATAGATA